CATCGACCCGGAGAAGTGGTGTGCGTTGTGTGAGCGTGACGGGCACGAAAGCGTCGACTGTCCCGTTGAAGAGGCCTTCTAGGGGGGAGATCTCTCTTTTGAAAACCTGAGATGCGGATACGAAAAACCAATATTTAATCAGGGGCGTCCGGTCGAGAATAGAGGTTGGGTGGGGGTCTTTGGGGGCCTACCCAGCTACGTCCTATATGGGGCAAGAGAAGAGGGTTTTGTCAGTCGACAATGGCTTTTCCCATGATGTCTAGTGGGGAGGGGAGAATCAACGATTACGGGAAGTCATAGCGGCTTGCTGGACTGACTGATTGACTGACTGGATGGATGAGGGAAAAGGGGAAGAACCCGAGCAGGATGACCCAGGGGAAAAGGAAAAAAGAGGGGGTCACTGCTCGGCTTGCTTCTGAGTTGATGTGTTCATACTGGGGACGGTAGGTAGTTACGTGTAGATAATCCTTGCTTTTTGATTTCTGTTTGTTATCTTTGCCGGCGATCGACTGAATGTATTGTATGTATATTTATCAAAATTTATATCTAATTTGGTTGCTGCCTCTTTTCCCCCCTCTTTTTTCATACAAGAGTGTAGTAAGTTTTCTCGAGTGCGAACATTCGCAAATAAGGGGCGACGTCGCACGATAGGACTGTGGGGGGGCTCCTTGATCACATAGTAATTATCTATCTGTCTTCTGTCCCCGTCGGACATGGGGGGTTGTATATTGTGTGCTTCTTGGAATGTCCTGGAATGGAGGGGGAATGAATGACTCGGGGGGACCGCAAGTTCAAGCGCAAGTTCGGACAAGGGCAGGTTCGCTGGATGCTCAGGTAGAATCCAACACGACTCAATTTAGCTGGCACCTGTTTCTCTATCGTATGAACTTGCGGTCCCGAATCAAGGTAAATACTTGCTGTCGAGCATTTTTACTAGTTGCAGCCTTGTTATCACCTTGGTGGCTTGTTCGTTGAGTGAGGATTCGGAGTTGGCTTTCTTTGTCCTATCAGGGAGGCGAGGACGTGAAGTTAGCGTTGCCTAAACAGGTGGTGGCGCTTTTCGGCCTGGTTCGCCCTAGAATCCGATGGAGGTTATTATGGATCGTTCTTCTGAGTCAGAGACTTCTTGAGATTTCAGGTGGCGTCGAGAACAATGCTATTGGCGTCACAGAATGGCTCTATCAAAGCTCGCAGCGTCACTCATTCATCTTCGAAAGATGTAGTTGAAAGAAACGGCGAGGAAAGAACCAAGGCGTCCAGGGCTTCCACTTGGATCCTAGGGCTGAGACCCTTGCAGCTGCAAATGGCTTGTCGTGATTGGCTCCCAAGAAACTCTAAGAGGTATACTTCTAAAGCAAGATACAGTCAGAGGTAGCCCACACTTTGGACTCGTCCAGGTAAGGAGACACGGCAACTAGGCTCAAAGGATTAGCATTCTTATTGAAAAACGCCGGAAAGCGAACCAATGAGACTACCCGGTCCAGCGAGACTAGACCGTCCGCCACCAGACGAAGTGAACGCACACTTGCTCGTCAAGACTACTGATCTAAAGTTGGGGGATTTTGTCTGTACATATGGGTGCACTTGACAATAGATGGCATCGAAGGGCTCATCAAGTAGTTGTCTGTCTATGGTGTGCGGTGGAGTGGGGCTGACGAATGAGAGTCCAACAAGGGTCACGGGTCTGTTCAAGGAGGTCCTTAATCCTCACATCTCGCTCACTCTCTCCTCTTCCCTATATCAAAATATCACAAAAATGTCGTGGAAGTCTGCGCCTGGTGCCATTCAAAATTTCTACATCGCCGCAAGTACCCCTGTTGTATTTGTATCTCACCCTCAACTTGCAGAACTACTGCACAATTCCCCCAGTATCCGGCATTGTGAGCCTCAGACGGTGAGGCTTAACTCACCACCCAAAAAACACACGATTGGACATTTGAGACTGCTTGCATATGCTCGTATTGGTTCGGGAAAGAAGAAAATCGTGTCTCGTCCCTTTCCTTCGAGCTCTTCACACGGTTTCTCTGAGCGATCCCGCAGTTTTTCAGTTCAGTCTTCATTTCAGATTTCTGTTCAAATTCCATGTCCACCAAGTCAAGGTGCGCACGTTGAATGTTTGGGATATTCTCTCTCTGCTCATTTGGCTTTGCAAATCTGGGAGTCAATCGTCTCACCTCCATTTCGTTCAGTTCTTTTGAGAACTATTGACCCGCACCTCATCCGGTTCGTTGAGGGTTTGGATGGATGCTGACAATGCACGGCAGACTTCGTCCCCGGCTGTCCCTCCCACTCCCCCGAACCCCTCCCGCCTCGCTCTCTCCCGCCGCAAGGAGGAGAAGAGGGAGAATAACGAGAAGAACCGAGTAAGCAGAGCGCATGACTCTGGCTCTGGGGAACCCCACGTTCAATAGAGTTACGGGCGGCACCCTCCATCGACAAGCAGCTGCTAATATATACTAGGCGAGGAGGAAGAGGCAGAGAGAGAAGAAGAGTATGTCTTATCCTTAAAGCACACCTAATGTACTAACGTACTTGTCAGAGGTGGCAAGGAAGGGTACGCTAGTGGCAACATACGCAGGTGGCATAAACTGATATGGTGTTTAGCCGCGAGGGACGCCGCCGCCAATCCGGTAGCATCTTGTCAATTTGTTAGCTGAGGCCCAGGAGGGTATCTATACCTAACAGATGGCGATAGTGAAGGAGGAGGTCGCCACCACCACCACTACCACCAACACCACCGTTGCCTCAGAGGCAGACGGTGTTTTTATCAAGACCGAGCCTGAGGCTGAGGCTGGGATGGACGGGGGCGAGGCTGGCAACTTCAGCCTCGGCGGCTGCCCAGTCACGAGGGTAAGTCGCCACACCCGCCAAGCCTATCACGTGACACTACGACTGGATGATTCGATTTTCAAAATTTTCTTTTCTCCAGACGCCTCCTCTCATTCATATCTTCGACATACAAATCTCGCTCTCGAGATTCTTTCTTGCCATTACTCACACTACTCTCAACTGACATTCACGCTCTTTGCAGGCGTAGAAACCTCTTTTCACAGTAAATTTCTGTGCATCACACCAAATTCAGCAACCAAATCAACCAACTCAACCAAATCGCAATCATGGCGGACAAAGGTCTTGAAGAAGTCCCAGAGTCTCAAATCGAGTCAAACTACGATGAAGTCACCGATTCATTCGATGCCATGGGTCTCAAACCCGAACTTTTGCGCGGTATGTCGTCCCACCTAGCCGTCGAACCCCCTGGCCCCTAGACCTCCCCTTGACCTCCAACCACTCCTACATGTTGTATAGATGCTAATTGCAGCAGGAATTTTCGCATATGGGTTTGAGCGTCCGTCAGCGATACAGGCTCGTGCAATCATGCCGGTGATCAAAGGTACGTTGTCGTCGCGAAAAATTGGGTCAAAAACTGACCGAAATCGACCAGGATCGGACGTGATCGCCCAGGCGCAATCCGGAACAGGAAAGACGGCTACCTTCAGCATCTCGTGCTTGCAAAAGATTGATCCCAACCTCAAAGCATGCCAGGCCCTGATCCTGGCGCCGACGCGTGAGCTGGCGCAGCAAATCCAAAAGGTGGTTGTGGCGATCGGAGACTTTATGAATGTGGAATGCCACGCATGCATCGGAGGAACAAATGTGCGCGAGGACATGAAGGCGCTTCAGGACGGCCCACAGGTCGTTGTCGGTACCCCTGGTCGTGTGCACGACATGATCCAGCGCCGGGTGTTGAAGACGGACAGCATGAAGATGTTTATTTTGGACGAGGCTGACGAGATGCTTTCGGTAAGTGCTTTTGCACCACCACCATCACCACCTAGGAGATTGCTAACAGATTGCAGCGCGGATTCACCGAACAAATCTACGACATTTTCCAACTCCTTCCCCAATCCACTCAGGTCGTCCTCTTGTCCGCCACGATGCCCCAAGACGTTTTGGAGGTCACGACCAAATTCATGCGCGATCCGGTCCGCATCCTCGTCAAAAAGGCCGAGTTGACATTGGAGGGTATCAAACAGTTCTACATTGCGGTGGAAAAGGAAGAGTGGAAACTCGACACGCTGTCTGATCTCTACGAGACAGTGACCATCACACAAGCCGTCATCTTCTGCAACACGAGAAGAAAGGTCGACTGGCTCACCGACAAGCTCCAGGCTCGTGACTTCACAGTCTCTGCCATGCATGGTGACATGGAGCAGGCTCAGCGTGATGTGATCATGAAGGAGTTCCGATCAGGATCCTCCCGAGTGTTGATTGCCACCGACCTTTTGGCGCGTGGCATCGATGTGCAGCAAGTCTCACTGGTCATCAACTACGATCTCCCTGCCAACCGCGAAAACTACATCCATCGTATCGGACGTGGTGGTCGATTCGGCCGAAAAGGTGTTGCCATCAACTTTGTCACCGCCGACGATGTTCGCATGATGAGAGAAATCGAACAATTCTACAGCACTCAAATCGAAGAGATGCCAATGAACGTTGCTGGTATGTTGTTACCTCTGTCTTGATATCTACTCGGAAACTAACTTTTGTCCAGACCTCATCTAATCACTCTCATCGGGCATGTGGATGGCGTTTGTTCAGATGTAGCAACGACTCGAGAAAAGTGGGATGAAGCCTGTCTCCGACTGCTTGGCTCAATGTTGTCGCTCACGAAAAAAAGTCATGTTTTTCTTATCATGAGGACGGACACTATCAGAACGTGACGGTCGAATGTTGCTTATGTGGGCAGATTTCGCAGGCGTTTCTGCTTCTTAATGTTTAGCTGACAATTGTTGTTGGCTGTCGCTCAACAGATTCCAAAGTGCATTCTCATGTACAACGCAGGAATGATCGTTTCTCTTTGCTGCTTTGCGATAGATAGGTAGAAAATCAAAAGGTTCATGTACCACAAAAAATGTCTGATGATCTTTGACATGCAAGGAGAACTTGGCACAAGGTTTTCTTTTCTTCAGAGAAACCTCCGTGTCGGTCAAACGCTCAAAATGCCCGTCACATCGCTTTCAGATCGAAAGATGACGGTCAACTACGCTATCGACTTACTTAGAGCCCATCAAATCCGTCGAGAAAATGTGTTCCTACATGAGCAGCTCCAGACGTGTGTCACAGAGGTTACAATGTTGCGTGAAGAGATACGAGATTCGACCCAACGGCAGACTGCCATCGAAAACAAGGTCAAATCCATCAAGGTGCCCATTGACGACCACGCTACAAAAGCCTCTGCCATTCTCGAGAAGCAGGAAACTCGGCTCAATGACCAGGCTCGTGAGATACGGGCAGTGCGACAGTCGTGCAGAGCGTTGCAAACCGAGACTTCAAATATCAAGGCGTCGTATCACGACGCACAAACGGCCCAGCAGACACAAATAGCAATTGTCGAGAAGCAAACGGTAACCCTCGAGAATCTGCAAAGAGCTCTTGATGACAAGGCAGATACCGCACTCGTCAAAGTTTTGGAAAGTCGCGTGAACAGAGTCTGGAGTGATCAAAATGCTGGCATTGTTGTAACAGACTCGGTCAGCCACGTTTCAGAGACTGCAGAGCGTATGAGCCCTGTTTATGAGCTAGGTACATGTCGCTCACAAGAAACTGCTGACCTCTTCGCAGATGAATCGGTTCAGGTTCGGGATTCCCTCCCTGACCGTTCTGAACCTCAGCAGGCTCGAGAGATGACACTCCCAAACGATCTCGACCTCGACGCTAATGCTCACACGATCAGCTATGCTGGTTATGAGTGCCGCGCAGCGGAGCCGTCCCTCAGAATGTTGTCACCACTCCCCATAGAGGCGTCGCGGCTCGCCGAGATCAAGACCCTCCGGCAGAGAAGATTTGACGGCTGGGACCATTACTACAACCAAGGTCAGGAACTCGTCCAAGCCCTGCCGCAGGACTTTGAAGAGACAATCATACACCATTTTGTGGAGGGACTCTATCAGAACACCCATAGAAAACAGTGTCAGCAGTGGCTCGACTCGAGTGGATGGACTTGGGCCAACGTTACCGCCTTTGGAAATCTATGCTCACAACTTCTTGCCAACGACACATCGGTGGAAACTTCGCGTCCGAGACAGACAGACGCAGGGCTTGCTGCAGTCGGTAAGTCAGGACAGCGTGTCGATGGCGTCGGCAAGGAGGCGAGAAACGGCAAAGTACCACGAGACACTGTTGATGCACCGCTGCGGCGAAGCCAACGCGTGGCCGAGAAACAAAACCTCCAAACGCAGACGGAAAAACGGCACGAAGTCGAATCGAACAGAGGTCCGCCGGCTCACAGGACAAGACAGGACATCACTCAGGGATCGAGGCTCAAGACCAATCCTGGCAAGGTTCCCGATGAGGCGCAGAGACAACAGCAGGCTGTCGACGCCACGGAACCGCGAGCGCCACCTCGGAAATCTGCAAAGGTGACTGCAAACCTCCAGGAGACAGGCCCCGCAAAAACCACGACCGTCTCAGCAAAGCGTCGTGAAAGCCACAAGAGGAGAGCCGTCGTCAACGAAATTGATCACCCAGCAAAGCGACCGAAGCCTCGCCCGACAGCGCCTCCAAATCATCACATCTCCCCCAAACTTGTGTCATTTCGCGAACAAAATGCAGATTCAATGGAAGAAAGCAGCAATGACGAGGGGTTTCTGCACAATGACCCCAAGCCTTCAGTTCCCACGAGAGTACGTCAACGGGCAGGGCACAGAAAGAGAGGGCTACCTCTGCCACCGCCACCAGAGATCCCTATTCTACCTACCACAGACGAAGAGTAGCTGGCCGAACGCAGTCACTGCGCAATACCTCTTGCACGGGTAGATGGCATGGAAACATTCAATGGCGCTGATGATTGAGGAGGCCGGGCATCCACTTTATAACTGGTCATAACTTTTTGGAAGTTTCAAGTCTCCTTGAAGATATATCCATCTTCGGACTCGTCATCCACGACATCGACATTGATCTTGGCCTCGACCACTTCAAGTCCATCCGCCTCCAGACCGCATTCCACCCTATCTCCACCTATGAGCGGCCCGACGCCTTTCGGAGTTCCTGTCAAGATAATGTCGCCTTCTTCGAGAGCCATGACCTTGCTGATGTCGCTCAGCATCCTGGGGATATTGAACAACATCAAGTTGGAGTTATCTTTTTGCTTGACCTCGCCGTTGACCTTCAGCCACAGCAGCACATTGTGAGGATCTGGGATGCGGTCGAAGGGGATCTCGTGGCTGATAGGTAGGAAGGTATCGAAACCCTTGGCGATAGACCAGGGAAGACCCTTCTTCTTTGCTTCATCCTGTACATTTCGAGCAGTTACATCGATACCCAGGAAATAGCACTTGATGTGGTCGAGGAACCGGGAATCGTCCGCTTGCAAATTCTTCAGCGGGGTCGGTGTTTCTCCAATAACCAGGCCAAGCTCAACCTCATGGTGCAGATTCACACCGCGAGGGCGGATGATAGGACCTTTGTCTGGTAGGAGGATAGAGGACGGTGGCTTGAGGAAGAAGAAAGGCTGTGCCGGACGCGCAGATGACAACTCGGTTATATGATCACTACACCAGAGCATGTCAGTATTTCAAAGTTGCATCGCTGAGAGGCGGGAGGGTGCATACGCATAGTTTCGCCCAATGCAGATGACCTTGCGACAATTTGCCTTGATGGAGGCCATGGAGGGCACTTTGCAATGCTGTATACCTAAGCCGCCGAGAGGGTGGTTGAAAGCAACTTACTAGTCACAAACAAGGTCTACACCATAGCCTTGGACATTGAAAACATCTGAGGTCTTCCCCTCAGTCTCCACTGTCGACCATCCGTCACTGCGGGAATTGTGTGCCTTGCATGACTGGTCAATCTGGAGGGCATCGGTAACTTTCGGACGGGCCACCAAGAGGGGGGGAGATGTTGGCAAAAACATTCATCCATTGTGCTTGCTGTGCACACCCTCACATCATTTGCCTTCCCTCGGTGTGTTCCTTTCCCATCTCTTTCTTTCCTGACCATTCCGCCGACTGTGTGCGAGTATGTTCGAGACGGTGCGCGGGTAAAGGAGATGATGGACCTCGCTGCTTTCGCCACCGCAGGTGACAGGTGACAAACTCTCAAGGGGGCGGCTAAAGCGGCGATCGGTTAGACCAGTACTCTTCCTTTTGTGCTTAAGTAAATATCGAACATTGCTGGACGGATGCTCATAATCTACCACCTTCGCCCTCGTCTGCTTCTTATTCGCTTCAACTGTGGCTGCTACCCACACTTGTAGGGCTTGAGGTCTCCAAGGTCCCCTTGACTGGTTCGTATTATGTATACTGTGACACCAAGAATCTCGCCCCCCATCCAACAAGACCAACCAAAACAATTCCGAGATTGAAAAGCTCTTCCTCGTCACCTCGCAGCAAGGCTGAAGGACCACCTCTGCAAGGGACAAGGTCGCCTTCGCTCCATTTTTATCAGATCATGTCGGAGCCTGCGCGAACGTCACCATCAAGATCTTCTGTAATTGACGCAAAGCGACTGGACCTTATCCACATGCTGATTCAAGCCGAGTTCGGGAAGTAATAATATGGTTAGAACAACACGTCCATTCGGAGTGGTCAAGCTCAATCGAGATATCCGGCGGCTTTAGTTGTACGATGGCCGCGAGGTTTTCTCTGACAATAGCATCAACTTTGCTCGTACAACGAGCAATCATTTCCTCACGCCGTTCGTCATCCTCAAAGTCGAGGGGAAAAAAACTTCTCTACGAACATGCTCCAAAGTATCCTTCGATGCCGTGCTCCACGACGATGAAAGTGACGTCTGCCAATGGCACGCAGTTGTGGAAGTATACCAAAAACCGGCCCTATCTTGTCCATACCTCTGTCTATTTCCCTACCCGGCAGTGTCATATACAGCCTTGAACGGAATGTGTCTACTACCTTTCTAAAACACGGTTAAGGGGTCTGAGGGTCGAGGGAACAAAAAGGTGACAACTTGACAGCAGTCATCGGAAATGCCAAATAGGCCCGGCGGCTTACTAAATTTTTCGCAGTAAAGTCGGAGGACCTAGCTGCATTGCATTGTGCCATGGCCCAATACCGCGGTATCTGACGCAACTCGGGATTGTGGCATCAAACGATGCAGTTAAGAAATGACCCTCTTTCCATGGCTAACCGGAGCTGTCCTAGAGAATTTGGAAAAGAGAACGACGGCGTGGATGATATTGCGGACGATGTTGTACGATTTGACATTCCAAAATGGCGGGTACTGAAGGCAGCACGGAAAGAGGGGCGCGACCGCTAGGCTGAATGATCTGGGACTACGAAGGAGGAACGTATCCGAGAAAAACTCCAGAAGGGTACAAGCTTGCTCAGGTCTGGTTGGTTCGCGTGCTGGCGGAGTGATATGGGTCCAGCTTCAGACAGCACCACTCACAGCGCAAGCTCCAACCCCGGTCGCCTGCATGCCGGCAGGGCCGTTTACAAACCCCTGCCAGGCAATACTCGTACTCGAAGGCGTTTCCGCAGGGGTCCTGCGGTACGGTCCCATTGAGTCTTTATGTCGACCACTATCAGACCTCGATCTGTCGCACCAGTGCCTTTACGAGGTTGCTTCGATCTCACACCTACGACAATGGAAGCATCCTTGGCTTTCGATCGATTAGGCTTACTTCTTTCCCTGTCGGGCTTCATTCGGAAGAAGATCAGAGATGCGCAAAGTAGATATGTCCTGCGGTTCCCTGTCGTTACCGTGGACATGCATTATGGAACTTGTACCATGCATACCACACAATGTCGACGCGACGAGGAAGAGGACGACCTGGTGGCACTAACCCAGATTTCCTTTGGGTCAACCGGACCCCAGACTCTGAGAGACTCTCCGCCACCCGACAAGAGAGAGAGGAACTTCGAACCATTACTAGCCATGCTCGTCAATGGCGGGCTGCACTGCGACGTCAACAGAGGCTCTACAGTGCCCAAACTGAGGCAACTCACGCGCAGAGCATCGTGGGCTGGGGAAGGCAAGGCAACCTCTCCGAGACCAGCTCCGCCGAGACATCTGCGGCTCCTTCACCTGCCGCAATGACACAAATCACAGGAAATTCAACTGATCCATTCACCTATCTCGAGTCGCCGGATGATGCGTGGTGGTCGCACAATGCGTTCAGGTACGCCATCGACTCGTGGCTGCCGTCAGTGTTCCGAGACTTGGACGTGCTGGACGAGGCAATATCAAGCTCTGAATCCTGTCTCGCGACCATCGATCGAATCGTCCAGGGTTGCCTCGAAAACAGGATGCACATGTTCTCGCTGCTCGCCGCAAGCACAGGATTCTTAAAGTACGTGTTGCGGCTTCAGCTTGACCGACGTGACTCCCCCGAATATTGTATGGGCAAAGCTCTTCAGCATCTGCGACACCATCTGGCCGGCGCACCACAACCTAACGAGAGTCTTATATTTGATCTCAAAGCGCTGTCGACGTTTGAAAGATACGTGGACAATTTTGAGGGAGCTAGGACACATCTACGGATGGTTCAGCACCTTGTTCAGTCAGTCGGAGGGCTTGAGATTCTGGAACCGCCTATGCGCCTGGTATGCTGGCTGTGGGATCTGTTGGTAGCTGGTGGAACTGGGGAGAACCCCTTGATGCCTCTTACCTGGGATCCCGGTATGCTTCCACGCCAGCAAATGCGAGACGAGATATTTCCAGCTCTGGCTCAGAGCGGAATCATCCCCAGTGGCGCCGGTCTGCTTCAGTACGGATCATTGGTACAAGATGAATTGTCGCCCATCCTTGTCGACGCGATACAGTGGTTCCAAGTGCAGCAATACAACCGAATCCACAATTTCAGCCGATCTCCTATTGAGCAATGGGCTACGAGAAGAGCATATGCCATCGTCCATCGACTACTTTCCATGGCACCAAGTTCTCCAGGAGACAGATTGCAGGGCTTGCTGTCGGAGTGCGTCAAGCAGAGCTTCCTGATCGTCATAGCAGACACCGAAGCTGCAAGGAGATCTCGAGTACAGACTGAATCGCCCAGAAATCCTACTAATTACTCTTGGTCTGATGTTGGTCGCCTTCGCCAGGCGCTCTCCGCACTCGTGGAATCGGAGGAAAACTGGCAAGAACAACACGAGGAAATCGTCCTTTGGATGGCGTGTCTAGGTGTCCAGGCTACATCGACAACTATGCTTGAGTCGATTGCGCAACATGAACAGACAGCGCAAGCAGCAGCAGGCCCCTCGGCGCCACCGCCCAGCGAAGAGGCAAGCCCTCGAGAGTGGCTCCTCGGATTAGCGAGGCACATATTCTTCGAGCGGCGGAACCGAAATGGTGCATTGTCTTCACATCCGCCTGCAGATGACGACCTAGTACAACTCATGAGCCGCTACCTCCATAAATGCGAACCATCTGGACGGCCAGATATCATGGGGCTCGAAGAAGTGCTATCTCCGTGATTGAACCTTCGCGGCACACCACACAGACTTTCTTCAGTGAGCGTGGTTGATCAGCAGGACATCGCGGCCATCTGTCACCATCTCGCTGGGCTCCTCTTCTCTCCACTCCCGTCCCGCTTAGGGGCGAAGGGAGGCAACAAGGGAAGTGAGGAAGGAATGGGAACCTGCCAGCCTGCCAAGCAACAATCTGCGCGATATGCCAATACCAACGATGTACGAATCCGTACCTACGTGCCTACTTAGGTAATATTCCTAAATGGAGGTATTTAACCCGATCGGGGATGGTTTGGATGCACGCCTCGTCTGTGGCTGTGTCCAATCCCTCGTCTTCGCAGATCCCT